AGTACATAACTTTAGTCGTAAAATAGTAGTTATCAAGTGGGTTCAAATAAAATATTTATACAATATTAACACAGTTTTAATTCTAATTTATACATATACACAATATTATTTTTTTGCGAAACGGGTTCAATTGAACCCGCTAGTCACCACGTGGGTCCGCTACTTGTACAAGTGATGCATCAGCAAAGAGACATTCATGCGTTCGAAATTTCTTTCTTTTGTCCTATGCGTTGTACTATTACTAGTCCATTTCAGGACAACCTCTTTTGCCTTCCTCTGTCATTTGAAATCAATGCAGACGAATCCATGATTTGAAGATATTATGGGCAACAGTCAAAGATTAATGTTCTATTACAGCTTCAAATGCAAGAGAATCCAAGGACAAGCGTAGTCTGAAGTGCTTTGTGTCGCAGTCAAGATACATCATGCACTCAAGAGCATGTGCCTAATGAAGTTGGAAAGAAAATCATGGAAAACCAAGACTCAATTCCAGTAGAAGAAGAAAATAGCTAGGTGAATTAATTATTAAGCCTGTGTGGATAGAATTGCTCAAAATTTATACTAGTGATACTGGTTACAGGACGGAATAATGAACGTACCGGTGAAATAGTGAAGGTGTGTGCAAGTTGGTCTGAACACCACCTTCAGCACAAAAAAGAAACACAAAAAGAAAGAAGAAAGAACGAAAGATACATGATATCTTCAGCAGTTTCAACTAAATAGGGAACTGTCTGCTAGATAGACAGTATAAATCATGGTAAAAGCAAAGGATTTCAAGAAGGAACTAGAAAAAGCTGATTCCGGGGACTAGTCTGCTAATCAGGGGCAGAGCTAGCCCAGTTACGGGTTCGGCCGAACCCAATAGCTTCGGTCCAAATACTATATTTGTCTTGTGAAATTCATTGAATATGTAACTTAAAAAGATTAGAACCCCGAACCCATAACCTTCAAATTCTAGCACCGCCTCTGCCACTAATTCAGTTCACACAATGTTGTACAGAAGGTCTGCTAGATATAGTGTGTCATTGATTAAACGTTATCAGCTATGGGGAAATTGACAGAGGAACTACCAAAAACAGGATCACAGTCTAACTATTTCGTCGCAACGAATCCATAACTTGATTAGGAGGCTTTCACTATAGGCATAGCAAACATGATTACATAGATCAATGGCCGAAAGCTAGAGTCTTTTTAGTCACAAATGATGAAGTGCTTCCATCTTAACCATATAAAATCTAACAATACTATCTTGTATTAATATTCAACTGATATCAGCGCCGAAAATGTAAATGTACCTGTTGATACAACAATATCACCCAAAAAGATTATAGATATTAATTTCATCTTCCTTCAATACACTTAAGCCACATATAAACAACTGAAGAAACTTGTAAAAACATTTCTCCATTGCCTATATATAAAATATATAGCTAGAAACATCAAGCTCAGTTTAGATATCTAAAACAAAATCTATCAGTTATATCAACATATTTTGAACATATTTCAATCCTGAAAACCTGTTTGGCGCCACACGGCATTGCGAACCTGACGAAGATCCCTCCCTTTAAGAGTTCTTCCGACGCCTTCCAGCATCGAGAATGTGGTTCTAGGAGATCGCATTGATCCTCGGGCCACCATCTCGTGCGGCGGCAACATCTCATCATCGGGATCATCCTCGTCAATTTCAATATCAGCAAGATCGCCGTTCCTCGGTGCCTTCTTCGGCATCATCGGAACATTCATCGGAGCCGAGTGCTGGAACTTCCTCGCCGGCATGGATTTTGAGTGATTAAAATTAAAATTATCCGATGGAGGCTTAGGAATCGAAGGTATTGCACGTGAAAACGGTATCACTGTAGAAGGCGAAGCTGAAATCGGCGCCGTAACGGAAGGCGAGGAAGTGATTGAAGGCTTCCGACGGAGAACAGGCAGGTCAGTTTTCCGGTGATCCTCCGATAATGCAGCAAGAATACCAAACTTCTCACGCTTACGGAAGGACTGACGGCGACTATTTTGTGAAGGAGAAGTAGAGCGGCGTTGAGATTCAGTGAAGTCTCTTTCAGTCCAGAACACGTCATCTTCGTTGAGCTCATCATCATCGACGACCGATGAATCTATCCCGCCGCCGAGAGCAGCATCACTCTGCGGCGGAGAGAACACGCCGAGGAACCGATCGGACGAGGGAGATTGACGGTGGCGGAAGCTAACGACGCCGTTTTGATCCATTGGTGGTCAAACGAAAAAGCTCTTTTGGTTGTTGCGTATGTGGAACGTTACTGATAGTCTGATACAATACAATTTTCTAAGACCACAGAGGTTTTTTGACTTCATATAGGTCCCACTTTCTCTTTTGGAGCCCACTTTCTTATCAGATGGTTTACAATAACTCTAGTAGGATTCACTAGTTATTGAACGGTGGATGTTCTAGCAGCTGGGGCCAAGACGTGGCGGTAGGACGCAGAAAGTTCTATTCAACTGTGGATCCGGGGCACGTCATCATCTATCCTTTTCACGGGAGTTAAGGATAGGAATATCCAGCTCTTTAAATTTGTTAAAGTCTTTATCTAACTACTATTAAAATATAATCTCTCCGTTTCAATTTACGTGAACCTATTTTCTTTTTGGTCCGTTTAAAAAAAAATGATCCCTTTCTAAATTTAAAAAAAAATTAGCTTAAACTTACAATTCTACCCTTAATAAGAAACTTTTATAACCACACAAATACTCTGTACCCCTTTTAAACTTGTTTAGGATCACAAATTCCAAAAATCTTCATTTTTTTCTTAAACTCCTTGCCCAATCAAACAGGTTCACATAAATTGGAACGGAGGAAAGTAACAATTTCTAGTCATGATTTAATTGCCCGTAGACGTTGATACATAATGTGTTGGCGATTAATATGAGTAATATATCACCTTGTAGTTACCAAAGAAAAATATCTCCTTGTACTAAAAAAAAATAATTTCTTGGAAGATACGACCTGCCGAAAATAATTTTTTGTCTTTTCATTCGGAATCAAATTGTTTTTATCCAATAGTATTCTTAGTTAATATCATTTAAGTAAGCCTATTTTTAGAAAGATTAAATAAAACGCATGCTAAGCCGATATTGGCTCTTTACAGGTTGATAAGATAGAAAATGAAAATTTAAGAACACGTCAATAAAGAAAATTAATATATTATAAAAATTCATAATAGGAAGAGGAAGAAGATAACTTCTGCTCTCCGACTTCCTTCTATTCAAAATGCGAGAATGAGACAAGTCATAGAAGGGGGTAATTGGTTGTTCATGTCAAACATACAACACCAAATTCCTTTTCGCGGTCCTCCGTTCGATAATGCAATTTCCATGCTCACAACCAATTATAGTAAACAAATTCATCCTCGTCGTTCAACATATCTTACTAAAAATAAGAAGGGTTAAGGGCCTCCAATGCAAATCGATAAGAAAGGTTCTTCCATGCGTATAAAAGCACAAGGAGTTGAGGGAAAGAGCCTCTAGTCCAAATATTGTAGAAAATTTTGGGTTCACCGGGGTGCTTTAAGACCCAATAGAATTATTAGTTAATCCTAATATTCTCTATATAAGTACACTTATCATGTACAATAAAAGATACTCTCTTATGTATTTTTCCACGCACGCACGCACTATCTCTCTCTCTCCCTCCCCCCCCTCTCTCTCTTTCAATCCAATCTTGGATTTAGGCTGTGGTATAGGAGGTTGCTCCATCACAACGTGACAATCACCACCGACCAGTGATTCAAGTCGCGATTCAATTCAGATTTTCGCTTCCGCTTCAATAAGTAAGTTCTCGTTTTTCTATTTACGCGTTAAACTAATGTGTTTAGTGTATCAAGTTTTCCTTCATTGATATTAGAGTCGATCCGAAAACATATAAAGAATAATCTTATTACTCTATGTAAATATAGAACTACGCGTATATAGTTTTTTGAATGATAACACAGTTTGCTATATACTATGGTATCTAGAACTATGTGTTTATCCATATAGAATTTTTTGTGTAGTTGATTAAGGTTAATCAGTTTTTCCCATTAATCTTTTGTCTTCTTCTGATTTTGAAATGAGTTTTCAAAAAAAAAAAAAAAAAGGA